ATTCACAAAAAAGGGTCCAGCTGTTTAGTCTCCAACTATAGACCTATTTCCCTGCTTTCTATATTCAATAAATTAATTGAAAAAATAATGTATCATAGAATTATTAGCTATCTTGAGAAATTTTCTATTTTATACAATAATCAGTTTGGTTTTAGATCAAAGCATTCAACCATCCATGCTCTTCTCCTCTTGACCGATAAGATACACAGATCAATCGATAATGGCACATGTTCTTGTGGCATTTTTTTAGACTTATGTAAAGCATTTGATACTGTCGATCATAAAATTTTATTAACCAAGTTGGAGTATTATGGTATACGAGGTGTTGTAAATGACTGGTTACCGTTTGCATCATATCTAAGTAACAGAAGACAGTTTGTCTCTTTTTTTGGTACTGATTCTGATTACCAGACTGTTTCATGTGAAGTACCACAGGGGTCAGTGCTTGGCCCATTTTTTTCTTTTACATATAAATGATCTGCCTAATTTTGGATTTTCACCTTTTTGCAGATGATACAAACCTGTTTCTTGACAACACTAACATTCTAAATTTAGAAACCAACCTAAATGTAGAACTAGATAAGGTGAGCCAGTGGTTATTTGCTAACAAATTATCTCTGAACATTGAAAAAACTAGCTTTGTGGTATTCCATTCTCCGCAAAGACGAATAGCTCATAAGTTGAATCTTAATATCTCCAATATGTCTGATAATCAAGTTAAATACCTAGGACTCATTTTTTATTCTAATTTGAACTGGAAACCGTACTTGCACGAATTGAGCAAGAAGATTTCAAGAGGTATTGGGGTACTATCTAAAATTAGACATTATGTAAACGGAAACATATTACTTTAATTATGTTATTCACTTATTTACCCCTTCCTCACCTACGGTTTATCAATTTGGGACAATACTTATAGTTCTACTCTCAGACCTTTGATAATTCTTCAAAAGACAGCAACACGTATTATAACTTTTTCGGAACCAGGTGATCACTCTGAGCCTCTTTTTAAGAAATTAAACATTCTTAAATTAACTGATCTTGTTACCCTTCATAATGCACTCCTCATGTATAACTATCATCATAATCTTCTTCCATCTTCCTTTGAAAATTTCTTTAAAACGGTAGCATCCATACACTCATACAATACCAGGCTTCCTTCTAAATCAACCTATTACCTCAATACTATCAAAACAAACTATGGTAAATTCAACTTTCGCTTTGCGGCTGTAAAAGTTTGGAATAACCTTGATGAAAGCATTAAACACCTCCCCCTTAAATCCTTTAAAAACAAAGTCATGTTAAACATCTTACAGTCTTACTGTTCGTGAGTCTTTTTTTTTCTTTTTCATTTTTTTCCTTTTATCTATTTGCTAATTCCTTGTTTGTTCTAGCTTTAGTGCCAACCTACCTCCTATGCCTGAAAATTATTTAGCTTTACTCAGCTCGATTAGCTTTTTAGTTATTCTGAGTAAATGTCACCTTTTTTTGTCTTGATATATTATATTGTAAATTAAGTTAACTTTTATTTGGTAATAAAGCTTACTGGTTAAATATATAAATATATAGACGATATATATAGAAAGAGACGATATCGTAACAATATTACCCCTACCAATTCTAATTAGTTAGATATCCTGAGTTATTGTTCAGGGCCGAGTTGTTCAAAGCTGGGTTAAGATAACCCAGGGTTAGTGGGAGATTTGAATTGAGATATGAAAGTTTAAAAATGCTTTTAAACACAAGAAAAAGAAACTCGGGTTAAGCGCTAATCGGCCTTCGAACAACTGGTCCCAGGGTTTTAGGAATTATATTGAAAATATTTTTCTTCGTTGGAGTACTTACGCGGTGCATCATCATCTACAATTACAAATGTTATAATGGCAGGACCTGCGATGGGGTTACCGGACGCGGATTGATCGTCAAAAAGTGAAAATGCGTATACCAGTGTTTCGTCTTCTTCTAACTCATCATCGTCGAAAATAAAGTAAGGGAAAGTAATCGTCTCTACCCCCACGAAGGGTGGAATAGGTTGGACGCCATCTAGCGGTAGGTAATCTACATCAGCCGTGGCTGTAATGTCTGTGATGACGATCCTGAAACAAGAAAAGAACCCCTGCTTATAGATTACAAATACGAAACGAGGATATAATTCTAAGAATATGTTTGTCACCCTCCTGGTTGAGCCTGAATTTAGAGCTGAAAAAAGTACGTGCTGGAAGCTCGTTAGCCAGACCTTCAATAGACTTCTATTGACGACTGCCTTTCTGCACGTACTACATTTCGATATATTTTGCTTGTTTCAAATTTCTATTCCCCGCAAAGTTTTCTCTCTTCACTAACGCCTGATAGCGTTATTTCAATTTCTCTTGCACCATTTCTTTTTTCGTAAGGTTTCGGCTATTCCTCAGCTGATGTGCTTTATCAAAGTAGAGAAGTCGCAATGATGATGATGATGATGATGATAATGATGATGATAGTGATAGTGATAGAGATGTTTATGTTGCTGATGATGATGATAGCGACGGTAATGATGATTGATATTGATGATTATGCTGATCACACACGATAGTGCTGCATTAGGTAGACTTTTTCTAGCTAAAGCTTTAACTGAAATCTGAAATGGTATTTTTCTCACCTCAGATAAACGGGAGACGAGTCAATCGGACCAGTACTAGTGATAGTAAAAGTAAATTCACCAAACCCTGGATCCTCACTTCCTACTACTTGTGATGGTACTTGAAACTCGTATAGGGCACCTAATAATAACAATAATAATAATAATAATAATGATAGTAATAATAATAATAATAATAATAATATATTGATAACTATATTCCGTTGCCAAAAAGTAGCGGTTGCACATTAAGTAAGGACACCTACCTAAAAGACCTAACTAAAATACTAGGTAACATAAATAGAAATAATTAAGTTAGAATATTTATAAAAACTATGTAATAAATAAAATTCATGGAAAATACAATAACGAAGCATGTGGAAAGGGAAAAAGAAAATAGAAA